TGATGTGTTTTTTTTTGTGTCTGTTACCACTTTTTCTCAGCTCTCACGGAACGGATTTTTTTCAACGATACGTCAAAAGATCACAAATCGTATTGAGTCGAAGACATTACCCTTAAAAATTGAAAAAATTTCCCTCGTTCCCCGTAAATGGAGGAAACCTCCAAAAAAATTACAAATTTAAAAATCGCTAATTTTCGAAATTCTTTCAATTTTTTTTACTAAAAACTGCCGTAACTTTTATAAAAATAAACATATCAATATAACTTTTTTTGTATAGATGCTTGATGTCTGTAACTATCATTTGATATATTTTTTTTGTAAATTTAACCCTTTATCTGCCCACAAGGGAGGTTTTAAAATGACAACTTTTTCACAAAAAATTAACTTTTGAAAATGTTCCGGAAGTTCTGACACTTATATATATATATCTTAAATTAAAGCTAATATAATGTACTTTAATTTGAAAAAAAAAATTTGACCTCTGGACTTGTCTTCATGGTGAAAACGGCTACCGAATGCTATTTTTGTGTGAAAATTCTCGATTTTATAATTTACATTTTTTACTTTAAAGTGCTATAACTTTTTGAAAAATATATGGATCAATACAATTTTTTATGAGAAATAATATTTTTTAATAATCTCTTTTTCATTTGACATACTATATCTTAATCAGGATATTAATAAGGAACTAGCAGATCATATAGCTTTTGAAATAATACACCAATTTTTTAAAATTAAACACTATCTAAAGATTTGCATCGAAACGTTTATTTTTGATAGTGATTTTAATCACTGTCAGATATCATTATACTTCATCCAACTATGCCACGTCACCACCACTGTACTGCGACCCCCTGTGCTGGGTTTTTTTTTATCTAAATCAGTGGATAATTTTTTTTTTACACAAAGTTTAATTTAAAGTAGCTTTGATATATATATAAATAAAAAAATTGTAATAATTTTCAATTTAACCTTATATTTTGTTCATTGTGTAGAATTAAAATTTTATGTTGTATTAGTTAAACATTTTTTTTTAGTAGTTATTTATAAAAGTTTAAGTGATTTTAATTGAAAAAAAACCCAGCACAGTGGAGTCGCGGCATAGTGGGGATGTTGCATAGTTGGGTCCAGTATAGATTTAATCTGACAGTGATTAAAATCACTATCATAAGAAACGCTTCGATGCAAATCAGTAGATAGTGTTTAATTCTAAGAAATTGGTGGATAATTACAAAAGCTACATTATCTGCTAGTTTCTTATTAATACCCTGATTAAGATAAAGTATGTCGAATGAAAAAGGGATTATTAAAAAATATTATTTCTCATAAAAAAATTGTGTTGATTCGTACACTTTTCAATGAGTTATAGCATTATAAAGTTAAAAATGTAACCAACCCAACCCAACATCAACTCCTATTTCCTTAATTATATCCAGATTAGTAATTATTTTAATTATATATTATATAATTTTTATAATTAATTATTTTCAAATTATTATTGATTTTTAATATGTTAAAAGTAATCATTTTGAACCTACTTCTTTTTGTTCTTTAAAGTGAAAGTTTTAATAAAAAAAAAATGAATTTATTACCATAACTTTTAACTCAACTTGCAAGTTTGAAATAAATATTATTAAATAGAAAAAAATGAAATTGGTAGATTATTTCAAAAACAACAATAACACTTATTCCCTTAATTTTACCCCGATTTATAACTATAATATATGAATACATAATAATTACAGTAATTAAATTGAGTATGAAAGTGGTATTCAATAATATAATATTGTAATTTTTACGGAGATATTATAAAAATAAAAAGGAGTTGTATATTCATATACTTTTAATGCGTATACAAATTTAAAGGAATTTATGCAATACTTTTTAATAAAAAAATTTTGTTACTTATGAATAAATACACTAAACAAAAGGAACTTTCATCAGAAAAAAAATATACTTTTCTAAATAAACTTTTCGTGATGTTTTCAAATGTGCAATTAAACTTTTTCTATTACTTCTAAGTTTTAATATTATTACTTATTATTAAAAAATAAGTATTTACATATAAAAAAAAATAATTAAGAACAAAAAAAATTGTATTAAATTAATACTGATTTTGATTTTTAATATGTTAAAGGTAATCATTTTGAACCTATTTTTTATTGTCTTTTAAAGTGAAAGTTTTAATGAAAAATACCTTCTCAGCTTCGCATCGAAGCTAAAAAATGAATTTGTTACCATAACTTATAGTTCAACTTGCAAGTTTGAAATTGACATTATTAAATTGAAAAAAATGAAATTTTTAAGATTAATATGCAATCTGGAAATTTTATAATTACTAATTACAGTACATTTGTCAGAAAAATTCGATTTTTTTACATTTTTATCGTAATAGATAACTGAAATAGAAAGAATAGTAATCATATCCTAATAACTTTTGGTGTTTAAAAAAATTCTGCAATTGAAATATTCAGAACTTAATTAATTTTAATAATTTACTTTAATTAAATGAACCAATCAAACCAAAGTAGTTAAAAAGATTTACTCAATTGAGCATATTATCAAAAATATAATTATAATTGTAAAACTCCATCGTTAACTTCAGGTGAAACTAAAAATCATTTTTTTTTTAAATTTATGATTTATATAGCAAAATATTACTAAAAAATTTGGCATATTATAGACTGGTAGTAGCACACAGAAATAGAGTTAAAAAATTAATAAATTATAAAGTAAAATTATTTACTTTTGTAGTTGAATACTTTTATCATATCAAATTTAATTCGACAATAAATAATTTAAGAATATTAAAAATTAATGATTTTAATTGTTTGTATGGACAAATCTAGTTAAGCTACTTTTTATTTGAATAAGGAATATTTTTTTGATTTTTAAGAGTAATAACTTAAACTAATCATTAACTTAAATATCATAAACTTAAATGAATCATTTGACGTATCGTTGAAAAAAGTAGGTCTAGTGAGGGTTGGCAAAATAAATCGTAGCCAGAAAAAGAACCACATAGTAAAATAATATTAACATGAATATCAATTTCTTCTCACGAGGGGAGACTATAGTGATAAGATCCTTTATATTTATTGAAATTATTGAATCTAAATGAGATAAATATCAAATGATTTGAAAATTCTATTCTAACTCAAAAAAAAAATGCAAAATTTTAGAAGCCACAAACGGATTTGAACCTCGTACCCTAGGCGTTAAAGATCAAGGTGTTACCCATTCGGCAACTATTCGTTGATTTTTGTTGCATGATAAAATTGGCTATTTAAGCTAACTCAAATTTAAAAATTACTTTTTCGACTTTAAAAAAGTAAAAAATGTTAATAAGTATAATATCATATGTCTTATGAACTTTATTCTATGTCAATGAAATTATATAATATTCATGAAAGTCAGTTTATTCCCCTAATAAAATATTTTAAAATAAAATAAAATACAAAACCTAGAATTTTAATAAAAAATAGCATATTTTTAAATACGGTAGCCTTTTGCGCATAGAAGATAGGTCGTCGGGACAAATTTTTTTTTTTCATTTAGTAGTACATAAAATAAGCTTTAATTTGATATATGTTTAAAGGACGCAGTATTTCCGGAACATTTTCAAAAATTAAGTTGAAAAAGTTAGTTTTTGTAAAAAAGTTGCTATTTTAAATCCCCCCTGTGAGCAGAATAAGTGTTAGATTTTCAAAAAAAAATGATATCAAATGAAAGAAAATTACCTAAGGTTTCAATATAAAGAAATATTATTTTGATTAGTTAATATTTGAAAAAGTTATGGCAGTTTTAAGTACAAAAAACATCGTTATAAAAGGTGATTTTTATCGCAAATATTACATTTTTTTTATAATTTCGACAGCCATTTGCACATAGAAGATAAGGTGTCGGGACAAATTTTTTTTTTTCATTTTATAGTACATAAAAAAAGCTTTAATTTGATATATGTTTAAAGGACGCAGTATTTCCGGAACATTTTCAAAAGTTCAGTTGAAAAAGTTCTATTTTTTATACAATGTTTCAAAGTTTGAACCCCCCCTATATAAGGGGAAATTGTCTAATTTTAATAAAAAGTATGTCAAATGGAAGATGTACTTATAATGTATTTAGAAAAAAAAAAATTGTGCTGATACATGCATTTTTCGAAAAGTTATAGCATTTTTAAGTTGAAAATTAAAAATTGAAAATCGAAAATTTTAACACAAAAATAGTGTTTTTTTAACTACGGCAACCGTTTACATGCAGAAGATAAAGTGTCGGGACAAATTTTTTTTTTTCATTTTATAGTACATAAAATAAGCTTTAATTTGATATATGTTTAAAGGACGCAGTATTTCCGGAACATTTTCAAAAATTAAGTTGAAAAAGTTAGTTTTTGTAAAAAAGTTGCAATTTTAAATCCCCCCCCATGAGCAGGTTAAGTGTTAAATTTTCAAAAAAATTATATCAAATGAAAGGAAAATATCTAAGGTTTTAGTTTAAAAAAAAATTATGTTGATTTGTTGATTTTTGAAAAAGTTATGGAAGTTTTAAGAAAAAAAAGTGAAAAAAATGACAAAATTTGTCGATTTTTAAATTTGTAATTTTTTTGGATATTTCCCCCATTTGCGGGGAACGAGGGAAAATTTTTAAATTTTTAAGGGTAATGTCTTCAACTAGATACAATTTGTGATCTTTTGACGTATTGTTAAAAGAAATCGGTCCAGTGAGAGCTGAGAAAAAGTAGTGACAGACACAAAAAAAAAAATAAACACATCATGGTAAAATTAATACCTTCTCAGCTTCGCATCGAAGCTAAAAAAAATTTACCATTATGGAGGATGATGACAGTGGCGAATGTGAAGAAATACACAACGATAATGAAGAAATAACACTAAAATATTCATATAATTTTATGACACAGCATATGGCAACAAAAAACAAATAGAAGATATAAATAAAAGAATTGACATACAAAACGAAAAGATATATTCAATACATAGTCCATGGCAAAAATAAGTGATAGGATTAATAAAGTTGAAGCATTTGATAGTAGGATAAGAAGAACTGAAAAAAGAATTGAAAAAATTGAAAATAATCCAATGTTAGAAAGAAAGATAGAAAACTTAGAAGGAACTGTTGCAAATATTGAAAAAAAAATTATCAATAGGAATGAGGAATATATATTAAATTAAAAAACACCATTCACTATACAAGTACAGTGTCAAAACTCAAAATGGGAAAATTAGTGTATATTTAGAAATAATAAAATAGATGACTCATTAGATCTTTTAGAAAACTTGAAAATTATATTCGAAAAGAAACCAAAAGATCTCAGGTTTAATGTTTTTGTAAAAAAATATTTATCAGCAGAAAGTTTAAGTTGGTGGAATATAAATGAAAATGAACGAAATGAAGATACAGACTTGGATCAATGGAAATCATTTGCAGAAAACTTTAAAATTAAATTCTGGAATAAAGAATATACTCAAATAGTAAATAAAGAGTTAACAAGTAAAAGCATGAAACCAAGTGAATTAAACTACACGACTACAGAAAAAGAATTACTCGCAGTAATACATGTAAAAAGAAGATTTTATGAGATGATCGCAGGTTATCAAATAATTTTGATTACTGACCATAGAGCATTATTGTTTCTTAATTCATGTAAGAATCCTACAAAACGAATCGCACGTTGGTTACTCTATTTACAACCATTAAATATCAAAATAGAATACATTTCAGGACTAGAAAATGTTATTCCAGATACATTAAGTAGCAATTCACCTAATAGAGACGAAGCAGAAAATTTCGAAAAAGCGTTTAAATAAGTTTAATAAAGTTACCTCATGATACCATAGATTTATTAAAAAACCTACACAAAATTCAACAAGAAGACTTCCAAATTAAAAAATATACAAACAACATTGAGGAACATCAAAATTACAAATTAATAAATAAAATAATGTACAAACTAGTAGAAAAACGCTGGTTAGCTGTGATGCCAAATCAAAAAATCGAACAATTAATTAAATAACCTGTAATATTGGATCAAATAAGTGCTTTAGACTTATAAGTGAAAAATTAAGAAAGAAAATTAAAAGAATGACTTAAATTTGTGATGTATGTCAGAAAATAAACCTTCACCTACATCTAAGGCATTAACACAGTTTATAGATGTGGATAAGAAATTAAAACTACTGTCAATAGATTATATTGGACCATTTCCCACAGGCAGTCGAGGTTTGTAGTATATTTAGTATGTATTGACAATTTTTCCAAATACGTAAAGTTATACCCAACACAAAGCTCTAGTACTATACAAGCAATTAAAACAATAGAAAAGTAAGTTAGCGAAGTAGGAAAACCAGAGAGTCTGTTAACAGATAATGGAACAGCTTTTACAGCTAAAAGATGGAAAGAATTCATGGAAGACAAAAACATAAACCATATACTTACATCAATAAGACATTCACAAGGAAACTTATCCGAAAGAACAAATAGAGAGGTGACTATATATTTAAAAATTTTAGTAGGCGAAAAACATAATGGATGGGTAAAAAATATTAATGACATTGAACAAATTTTAAATGAAATTTACCATAGTACATTAGAGATGACACCGTATGAAGTACAATTTAATAAATTACCAGAAAGGTTGTGGAATCAATGGCTAGACCAGTGTATAAATACGATTGAAAGTATATCAGAAGAGCAATTGAGAAAACTGTTGAATGAACGCTTAAAGGAAAAAGAATGTAGAGAGCAGAAAAAGTTAACAAAGGTAAGACACAACTAAAAGAATTTATGGTAGGTGATAGAGTATTAATAAAATCATTAAATCTTAGTTGTAAAAACAAAAATAAAGTTGCAAAATTAATGCCTATTTTTGAAGGTCCATTTATAAAAACGAAAATAGTACAAAAATCCACATACATAGTGTGTAGTGAAAATAAAGGTAAAATTATTGTTAGGGGAATGTTTCATGTTTCACATTTAAAACAATATTACACAGAAAATAATTACTAAGAAAAATGCGTCAAAAACCTTATGTTAGGTCCAACGGTTTTCCACGTTTTTTTCTTGTTTTGTGGGCAGATGTAATGGTACAGTTTAGATAAAACATTGTAAGTTAAAGTATTATTGTAAATGTATTATTGTTTAATGTGCGACAACATCATATGGGATTTTTGTGTTCGCGTTATGTGGTGACGGCGCTGGGAAAATGTTGCCATGCGTAAGTGGTGATAAGAAGATAAGAAAGAGAGTTTGGTTATGTTTTAATGAACATCACATTTTTTTCTTCTTCCTAATATTAATTAAAGAATCTATATGAATTTCATGATGCATAAAAAGATATATTGGAGAGCTATATTAGAGAACCCTGAATAAATGTGTACGGAATTCAAATATATTCACGCCCGAACCAAATGAACAAGGCATTACTGGAACAACTGGAATTAAGGTCAGAACTTAAACGTCTACTACTAATACTCAGCTTATTCACATACTACACAGCACATTACAATAATTGTATTAATTATTAATATGTTAAATTTTATATGAATGTTAGTATAAATTTTTGTTATTGTCAAACTCAAAGAATTATAATTAACACATTATGGTAAAATTAATACCTTCTCACCTTCGCATCGAAGCTAAAAATTTTTTATTTTATTCAATTATCAGTAAGGTATGATTTATTGAAGTTTAGGGTACGTGAGTATTACTCACGTTGATTTATAAAGAACGCGCAAATTCTACGGATCATAAACTGATAATTGTTAACGGTTCATAACAATACGGTGATCTGTTGTATAAAGTGCATAGGTATATTTACGTACACTAAATATTAATGTTACTGTATTTAGCCGACTACTGTTTTATTTGTTAAATCCCCTAAACTTTAAATAGTGATATCAGTTTAGAATTTATTAAAATTTATTTATTTTTTATTTAAATTCTTTTTTTATGCTAAACAAGATTAATAAAAACAAAAACTGAGTTGCTATTTTGAAAAACTAAAATTGATATTGATTTGAAGGTTAAGGAATGAAAAGATTTATAACAAATAAAATTATTACATATATAATAATACTAATATTTTTAAAGAAAATTTATGAGGCACAATTAGTCAATCACCCTGTTTTTATGGAAATCTACTGAGCCATTCTGTCTTCATATACATGATTCCACATCAGATATCAACTGTCTCGTCTACTTCCCTCTAGAGACTTAATCAAAGTTCCGATTCCATTTGCTGACTGTATTACTTCTGATTTCAGTCCTCCAAAAATTGAACGTGTCGTTTCTTGCGTCATGTGTTCGTCATAGTCCATACACCTTCTCTGTCTCCTCCACCACTGACTCTATTGGTAGAACTCCAGCCAAAATATTCACCGCTGTTACACTTATTGTTCAACATGCACAAATGCACCAAATTAGTGCTCGAAGCTGTTCCTTCCTCAAAGCTCATACAGGTGTGGCATACAGCAATACAAAAAGGACCACAATACTCAATAGCTTTATTTTTCCTTATCTCGGGCCTCTTATAGTTGACCTAAGCCTCATGAGCTTTGATGTGTTCATTTGCTGAATATTAAGTATCCATCTACTAATACCCCAAAGTAGTTCATGATATAACGTATGCCTAAACTTTATATTTCTTTGTATAGTACCACCTTTCAATGGTTGTGATAGCATTGAGTCGTAACACAGGCATTACATAATATAGAATGTCGCGTGTTACCTTCATAAGAATTTTTTTAACCGTGATTGTGGCCTTTCGGTTTAATGTAACTCAAAACTAGCTAACCCAAGTTTATAAGGGTCTTTGTAGAGAGGGTATTGAAATCTTATGTAAGTTAACTATAATTCAAGGATGGATAAAATGAGAACTATATGTATACTAATCTATGACCGAGTCTGCATTAAAAGGTTAATGCTGGGTTATTTAAAAAATTGTAAATTATTTAAGAATAAAAGGACTGATTGAAATTGAACCAATGACGTGCTGTTCCAACACAAGGTAAAGCATTTTTATTATTTACTTTTTTCGTTTAAACAGATACATTTATTTTACAAAATAAAAATTACAAAAAAATATATATATGATTAATTAGTTATTATTTTTTTTATTTTAATGAAGACTAAACATTATTACTACCATAGACTACCATAGACATCATTAACTAAAATAGTTTTATTTATTAAAATAAATACAATTACACATACTTAAGATGAAGAATCAGATTTTATGCTTAAGCAATTCTGTAAAAATGAAGTCAAAATTAACATGTTTCATTCGTATTTCTACATTTTAAGTAATGAAATTGAACAATAATTAAGTTTAAGGACAATTAAAAACTCTGAAATTCAATTAAATCGTACCATAATGAAATTTTGCTTAATTTTAACAAGTTAAACACATTATTATTATAAATTATCATTATCATTTTCATCCTTAGAAATATAGTAATTAAAATAACCATATTTTTAGTAATTATAACAAAAAATTTTATTTTAATTATATTATAATAATGTATGAGGAAATGAAAAGTAAAGTAGTTAGGAAAAGTGACAGAATTATGGTCGTAAAATTGATATTTCGAAGAAAAAGTGTTGAATGCAATAAGTGCATATACACCACAAGTGAGATGTGATGAATTGGACAAATATGAGTTTTGGAGAGAGATGGATGAGGTGATGTAAGGAGTACCTGCCAATGAGGATGCGGTGATAGGTGGAGATATGAATGGACATATAGGTAATGAGAGGAGAGGATATGAAATAATGCGTGGAGGTAATGGTTTTAGGAAGAATAATGAGGCTGGAGAAAGAATTATGGAATTCGCAGTATCGTATGAACTTGCTATAGTTAATACATATTTTAGAAAGAGGAAAGAATATTATATAACTTATACAAGTGGGAGGAATAGATCATAGATTGATTATTTTATGTGTAAGAGAGAGACATAAAGCGAGTATAGGATTGTAAAGTTATACCAGGCGAGAGTGTAACTACACAGCATAGACAGATGGTATTGGAGTTTTGGTGTACCAGAAAGAGAATATACAAAAACAAGAGGAACACGGGAGAAAAATCGAAAATCCGGTGGTGGAAATTGAAAGGATAAAATGAAAAAGAGTTTGTTAAGACGGTGAAAGAGAGAACAGTGTGGAATATCGAAGGAGATATAAATGATGTGTGGAATAGATTTGCTAGTTGTGTAAAGAATACTGCAAAGGAGATAATTAGTGAGAGTAGGAGTAGAATGCCAGGAATGAAGGAAACCTGGTGGTGGGATGAGGACGTTCAAATAATCGTAGAAAGTAAAAGAAAACAATTCAAAGTATGGCAGAAGAGCAAAAGGAGAGAAGATTAGATGGTGTATAAACGCTTGTGCAGTAAGTAAGGCGATGTTTAAGAGGTATGATGAGTTGTATGATAGGCTAAGAACAAAGGAAGGCGAAGGTTAAGAGAAGGTTTTCGGGTAAGAGTAGGAGTGCACCAAGGTTCTGTTTTAAGCCCTTACTTATTCTCTATAGTGATGGATGAAATTACTAGAAAAATACAAGGAGAGGTGGCGTGGTGCAAGTTATTTGCTGACGATATAGTGTTAATAGGAGAAAATAGGGAGGTAATTAATCAAAGGCTAGAGGTTTTGATGAAAAGGGTTTAAGAATAAGTAGAAGTAAGACAGAGTATATAGAGTACGAGTTTGACAAAGGAGAAAACAATGTAGGTAAATTGAGTAGGTCAGTGACAATAGACGAGGACGTAATTGGAGAGGTGGAGAGTTTTAAGTATTTAGCGTCAGTTGGGCAAAAGAGTGGTGGTATTGACGAGAATGTAAGTCACAGAAATTAGTGCGGGTGGTTGAAGATAAAAGAATTCCAATGAGGCTACTAGGTAAATTCTACAACAATGTAGTGAGACCAGCTAGATGTATGGTTCAGAGTGTTGGGCGGTTGATAAGAAAGTAGAGCAGAAAATGAATGTAGTAGAGATGAAAATGCTTAGTTGGATGAGTGGAGTGACTAGAAAAGATACGAAGACTAGAAAACGATCACATAAGAGGGAGTATAAGTGTAGCGTTTTGAGGAGTTGTATGATAGGCTAGGAACAAAGGAAGGCGAGAAAGAAATCTATAGATTTGCAAAGAGAAGAGAGAAAAAGTCAAAAGATTATCATTATATAAGGTGTATAAAATGTGTTGATAATAAGGCACTCTCGAGTGATGATGATGTGAAAAAAAGGTGGAAAGAGTATTTTGAAAAATTATTGATCGAGGAGTACCTAAAAGAGACATTAGAGGATATCTCATGGAATGAGGGACTGCTATGATGTATGGTTCAGAGTGTTGGGCAGTTGATAAGAAAGTAGAGCAGAGAATGAGTGAAGCAGAGATAAAAATGCTTAGATGGATGAGTGGAGTGACTAGAAAAGATAAAATAAAGATTGAGCATATAAGAGGGAGTATAGGTGTAATGTCGACAGTGGATAAGATGAGAGAAAATAGACTTAGATGGTTTGGTCATGTTATGATGAGAGAAGAATCGGATGCTGTAAGAACAGTTATAGAAATGAATGTTGAAGGAAGAAGAGGTAAAGGAAGAAACAAGAGATGGATGTATGTTATTGAATGCGATATGAGAACAGCTGATATGAGCGTAAATGATGTGGGAGATCGTGTTAAGTGAAACTTTAGAATAAGGGTGGCCGACCCTAAATAGTTGGAATTAAGGCGAGGAAAAAGAAGAAGAATTTTATTATAAAAATAACCCATATTTTGTCATATTCACATTAAAAACAGCTTAAGGGAAATAATTCATAATATTTGCATAAAATTGTGCAGTTTCTACGATATTCAAATATTAATTCTTTCAATTAATTAAATTTTATTTGAAAAAAAAATAAATATTTAATATTATCTATAACTAATATTATTAAGCTTAATACGAGTAACAATTTTTTAAAACATATTGTTTTTTGAATCATTAGTGCTACGTATTTTTACTTACAGTCATTTTATGGAGAATGTTTTTCATTTTTTCCTGAAAAAATCATCATATAAGAAAAACAGCGAGTTTTACATATAATAAATAATGTATTAAAGTTTTATTAAATATGATGATATTTGAATCTAATATGAGACTATTTTTTTTTTAGCTTTTATAATGAAAATATTATAGCTCGATAATTTAATATAAGACTTAATAAGAAAACAAGAGCTTACTTTTAAGAATCTTAAAAAACCCTACAATATATAAAATATAAAAATTGCCAAAGACTGATGCCTTTACCCTAAGTGTATTAAGGCCAGAAGCATTCCTGTTATGGGGCGATCATCCCCAGACAATGTGTTGGGTTCAATAAAAACAATTATAATAGGTTTAGAAATCATTTTTTTTTACATTTGTTTATATACAAATAAACGGCTTTAACCGTTTTAATTTGGTAAACTCAAATGTATAGGAATGATTGAAAAAAAAATATGTCTTTATCTATTAATATCATACTGTTGTTATCACTAATGTCAAAATATATATATATATTAATATATACACTGTATATATGTATATTATACAGGGTGATTTTTTTATCATAACCCACGCAATTACTTACAGAATAAATATAATTTAAACATTTTTTTTTTTTTGGTTTTCTTTAATTACATATTGAATTATTAACTATTTAAAACTTTTTATGTTCATCCCTTATGCCTTGTAAGTTTGACAACTTTGTTTTTTTAAATGGGAACACATATTTTGAATTTAATAAAATGTTTGGATTTTTAATTCATTAGTAAATGGCATTTGAATTTTTAATATAACTTAATTAGTTTATTAGATATAAACATTTAAAGTTTCAAATTTTTGAGTTAATATACATGTATAATACACAAGGGATTATAAATACAGATAGCAAATTAGATTTTTATGACATTGCTGTTACAATCACGGATTGTTTATTATCAATTATGACTATCAATAGATATAATTTTTGTATTGTCATTGAGTATATTTATAAACTCACAACAATGTTCCTTATTACCATTGATAATAACAATGCTGAGTAATTTCGAATATCAACATATATATATATATCGTTTGGAACGAGGGAAATTTTTTCAATTTTGAAGGGTAATGTCTTCAACTAGATACGATTTATGATCTTTTGATGTATCGTTGAAAAAAATCGGTCCAGTGAGAGCTGAGAAAAAGTTGTGACAGACACAAAAAAAAAAAATAAACACAACATGGTAAAATTAATACCTTATCAGCTTCGCATCGAAGCTAAGAAATATATATAACATGACAGGTGGTATTGTAACACACCTGCCATGTTGAGGGACCTAAATAATAAAAAAATATTTATAAATTCGCCACACATGCTTATGGCATGGCGCACTAAAAAAAAAAAAATTATGGCTCAAAACAAATACAAAAAAAATATACATTACCAGCCCCGAAGGGCTTAGGTGTCAGGCTCATCCGACACCGTAAAATAAAAAAAATTACATACTTAACATTAATCCAAGCTTTTTATTCAAGCTGAAACTCTAAAAAAATTGTATATGATTTGTTTTTTTAAACTACATTTCTTTTTCACTTTTTATTCACTGTTACAGTCACGTTAATTATCACTATCAATAGATATAATTTCTGTATTGCCAGTTAGTGTGTTTATAAACTCACAACAATGTATTTTATTACCATTGATAATAAAGGCTGTATTTGTAATCCCCTATGTGTTATACATGTAAATTAACTCAAAAAAATTTGAATCTTTAAATGTTTATATCTAATAGTAAACAAAAATTTATTTATATATATATATATATAAATAATATTGATGATACGCATGTGTGTACGGCTACGAAAACCAAAAATAAAATTATACAGGAATAGTGTTGCCGGCGCGTGGTGAGCGAGGTGGGATGAATGCGTTACAACAGTCTATTCTCAAGGCCATAGACGACGGGATACAGGAGAATAATAACAAGTGGCGCATAGAGAGTTACAAACAAACATACATACATACAAACATACAGATGAAACTAATATAAGCGCGTTAAAAATACCTATGATTATAATACAGCATATCGCATTAATTGAAATTGGTAGCGTTTATGAACCAATAACGATCGTACTGTTATGATTTTTTCTTATAAACCTTATATTTTAGAGAGCTATGGAGTGCTATTAAGTTTTGAGTTTTAAGCATAAGGGAAGGCGGTAGAAATTTAATTCTTCTTGAGAAATAGCTCATCAAAGATCCATTATAATTTAAAAAAAAAAATTATTTCTAACACTTGTATTTTTTAAGATATTACGTGACACATAATAAATGGAAAAAACTATGTATAAATTAAACTACTAAATAATTGTAATGTATAATTAAATGTAATTTATTCCCCTGAATATCTTCAGGCTGGTATTCCTTAAATGGACCCTAAACAAATATATTCATAAATAAGCTATTCTTAAATTTGGTTTTATCAATCCCTAATCAATCAGATTCGGAACAATTGTGTATAAATTTAAATGTTAAATTAATGTATCATTTAATTAAATTTATTCACTTGAATGACTTCAGGCTGGTATTCTTTTTCATCTATGAGTTTCTAAAAATATATATTTATAAATAAACTCTTTATAAACATCGTACATTTGGGAGAACAGTGCTCTCTTACAATTCGCGTAATTAGTGTGATCAGAACACATGGCAGCTAATAGGGATATTTTATAGAAACGTCTATAACTCAAATATAAACTATTTTATCCAAAAAGTGGTAAATATGCTATAGTATTCAATGTGAAATATAATTGATACGATGAGTTACTTAAAATTAAATAATTATAAAAAAAAATATTTCTATTATATTTGATTTATTATTCAAAATAAAAATTTTGATGAGTACACATTTGAAAAATTCATAATTTTAGAATTATTTTACGTTTTATAAAATTTTCATATAATAGACTTTTCATTATTTTCTAACTAGTTTATAAGTTTGCTACTACGACGGGCTCTATTTCATAATCTGCACGGAATTTATAAATGTAATTTTATTGAACCCTAATTTAATTGATATTTATATTTTTGGTACAAAAAAAAATTATTTCTTGCATTCAACGAAGGTGTAAAAAGATGACTAAAATTGTTTCCCTTGAAACTATTAAAAACAGAGTAGATAATAGGAGCGCATTTACTCTTATAAATGCGAACATATTCAAGTGGGTCCATGTGTTCTAAACGGCACTCACGAAATTATGTATGATCATACATAATTAATTACCAATGATAATTAATACTTGATATTTTTATTTTATAAAACAAATATAACAGTTATTTAATTTTGCTAATAGTTAACTTACTGTACTTATTACAGGCATAAAATGTTCTTCTTTATTCATCAAGTATTTACATTTTTCACCTTTATCAGCTTCAGATATACCTTTTTTGCTAAAAAAACTCCATCCATCTTCTTTTGTAAATACGTATATTGATGTATCTAAAAATTCAGCTGCCGCAGCTATTTCGGGTGACTCAATATACACGTCTAAAATAGAAAAATTTTAATTATTTTTATAGGTTATGTAAAATTCTATAAATGAACACTAGATCATTTTAAGTTATATTATAGTAAGACCATCCAGCATCGAATAATTTGATAACGAAAATTTGAAATAAATTAGTTGAATTTTATTAGGCTTCAGTATCTTATAAATAGAAGGCTTTCAAATAAAGATGGACAAGTCAATTTGGGATATTTTTATTTTATATAAATATAGTAATTTTACAACAGAGCTAATGGTAATAAATCCATGTCTTCGTGTTCATTAGTTATCAAATGATCATCAGATAAAGTTAAATATAAACTATTAGTTATTATGTATGACTTGTTATATCTTTTTTTTATTCTCAAAATATATGACTTGTTTTCTTTACATGAACTTCATCCATTTATAAGCAACAGTTGTTAGTGTTCATCTACTATTATAACTTTTGTAGCTATTGTAATTTCTCACACTGACGGGACATTGCTTCAATGCGAGCCGGACGTTCATCATCGGTAGTCATTTCTTTATAATTTTTGGATTCTTCAAAGAACTTAAAAAAATTACATAAAAATAAATAAAATATTAAAAAACATGATACTATACTATTAACTTGGATATAAATTATTTACTTTTGAAATTTATTCACGTAATTTAACACCATAATAATGTTTACCAGTTATCCAATAAGATAGTGCATTGAAAAAACAATTTCCGTCTGCTGGAGTATCTAATCTATGAGAAGGAATACCTCGATATTTTGAGGGTATTAATCTGACACATACAAGTTCATATTCAAGATTTAATTCTTTGCACCAATGTTTCTGCCATTTTTTATCAACTGGCAAAAAAAGGGGTTTTCGAGGTTTACATTTCTAGAAATAGATTTTTAATAATTAGAAAAAAATTAATATATTTTATATTAATACATTTATTTTTAAACAAGTATAAGTGTTACATATAGTATTTATAAATTATTTTGTACGCCAAATTGTTCTATAATATTAAAATGTATACAAATACTTATTTATATTACTAGATAAAATTATTTAGTCATCTGATCTGTATATTAAAATATAATTTATGTCCAAACTTAAAAATTAATACATTTCACAATTGTACTAAAATTTATAAAAATCTGCAAAATGGCAAATAGGATATATAGGAAAGAGGAAATTTCTTGAACAATACAATAATTAACCATAAAAAGTAATTAGATTTTACGTAAATTTCTTTAATAATCTCAAAAATGTAAACTTAGAACTTTCCCTTTTTAAACTATTAAATAAAATATTCATAAATAATAATTATTTTCATGGTATTTTATAAATTTCAGCTTTTTCCCCTTCTTTTACTTTAAGGTTATCTAGTAAAACTTTTTAATTATTACTCTTACAAAATACTAAAATAATACCAAAGATCATTAAAATTCTTGTTTGCCCGTTCGAATTCCCGGATACTATAATATGAGCAATCTAAATATTTTTGTTCCCTTTCGTTAATAAATGCGCTACTTACTCATTTTAGCTTCGATGCGAAGCTGAGAAGGTATTAATTTTACTATGATGTGTTTTTTTTTTTTTTTTTTTATTGTGGTTCCAATGGATCGAAATGATCATTAACATGTGTGTATATTTCTGATAAATTATAAAATTTGGCCCCCCACAACTTATACAGAGTGGCCCACCACTCACTGACAACTTAAATAACTTTTGATCCAGTTAATATTTTTAGCTGATTTTTTTTTTAAATAATAGTTATACGTTAGGTCTATAGCTATATCTCAATAATTAATTTTTTTACATTTTATTAAAAATATTAATTATTTTTAAATTTTAAATAAAATGTAAAAAAAAAATCTAAGATAGCTATTTTGTAGAGTAGAATTTAAGAAAAATTTTAGTAAAAAAATATCTTATTAATATTCAGTAGTAAATATTCTGTAGCGTTTTGAAGTTTGTGAAAATTTGAATTTTCATGTACTATTTTACGGTATTAAACATTGAAATACGTATTGAGAAAAGGACAGAAGAAAACGCTATCTTTTCATGATTACTGTGTATACATATGATGATAGTGTGTATACATTACAAACTTGGCATAAATACCATGATAAGAAATTAGATAAGGCAATTATTACTTATCACTCTCATTCAAAAGTATATTGAAAAGATAGCGTTTTCTTCTGTCCTTTTCTCAATACGTATTTCAATGTTTAATACCGTAAAATAGTACATGAAAATTCAAATTTTCACAAACTTCAAAACGCTACAGAATATTTACTACTGAATATTAATAAGATATTTTTTTACTAAAATTTTTCTTAAATTCTACTCTACAAAATAGCTATCTTAGATTTTTTTTTTACATTTTATTTAAAATTTAAAAATAATTAATATTTTTAATAAAATGTAAAAAAATTAATTATTGAGATATAGCTATAGACCTAACGTATAACTATTATTTAAAAAAAAAATCAGCTAAAAATATTAACTGGATCAAAAGTTATTTAAGTTGTCAGTGAGTGGTGGGCCACTCTGTATTTTTCACAAATATTTTTTTCCATATTACGTTTTAAAAATTGAAAATAGATACACGCCTTAGCATTACCTACCAGTAAAATGTCGATTTTAAGAATTTTAGGTCAAAAAAGATAATTAATAATAAGGGATTTTTTATACTTTTTTTAAACTGAGTTAAGTTGAAAAAAATTTTAACTTTACTTTTAATTTAGTTAAATTTATAATTTGTTAACTTATCATAATGTTACTACTTAACTTGAGTTAAATGTGTCCCATTCATTAATGCAATCCTTTACACATTAATTTATGAAAAATCAAATTAAATCTGTTTCTCAATCAAATTTTTGCATAGTTCAAGTTTATAATATTATAATAAACTGTGCTGTATTACTTAATAGAACATAGAAAGTTAACTAACAAATTACTTATATTTTTTATAATAATGTGTAAAAAAATGTGTAACATATTTAAATGCTGCATTTTTCGGTATAATCAATTAAAACCCTATTTTTATCTAAGCTAACATATTAAATTTTGAACAAAATCATTAAGAACTAATCTTTTATTGCTACATAGCGTACATAATATCTAATAACCTAATTTTCAATCAAATTTTCAAATAGTTCAAGTTAATAATATTATAACAAACTATGTTGCATTAATTTAAAACAACACAGAAAGTTAGCTAAAATAAACACATATATTTTTTATAGAAATGTGTAACAATATTATTATATAAAAATTCAATTCCAAATTCTATGTTATTTTAATAATAATGATAGTATACCTACTGGATCTGCTTTGTTACTATTTGAGCAATAAACGTTAGAAATCAAAAAGATAAAAGTAATTAATTTTAATAAAACATTATATGTTGATAACGGCATATCTTGAAAATATTTTAAACGTTTAAATAAATGAAAACTTAATAATTACATTTATATATAATGTTTTGTTTAAAAAATAAATTCATAGATTCTTTATTTTAAAATAGAATTGTTTTAGCTATTTACTTAATATATTTTGTCATTATTATATTTAAACATTATTTTAGTAGTATAGTAAAAACTTTATTTATTATATTACCATATTTTAAGTAAGAAAACCTTAAAGTTTTGTTATTACATTAAATTGTTTTTATGAATTTATTTTAATTATTTAAAAAAAACATTTAAAGCAATTTTTGGGAGTATTTTTATAATAATATATTTACTGGTTCTTAATATCTATTAGTAAAATATATAATATAGAATTTTCTAGGAAACAGGAATATTCTTCTGTGGATTTTTATGTGAGATTATATTCTTAAAAATATGGTACCACAATGGAATCATGACACAGTGTGGACGTGGCATAGTTGGGATAAGTATAGATGATATCTAACAGTGATTAAAATCACTATGATAAAAAACGCTTCGATGCAAATTTGTAGATATTGTTTAATTTTTGAAAGGAATGGTGGATTATCCAAAAGCAACATCAACTCCTATTTCTTTAATTATATCCTGATTAGTAGTTCTGTAATATTAAATTTTAATACATGTAATAAATACTACATATACTTAACAAAAATATATCACCAAATCAGTGTTCCCCTGTGGATAGGCTTAAGAAATTTAGCAACCACTTATGGTATCTCGAAAATACCTCAGTGGAATTTTTTGATGATCAAATACCTGTTGAAGTAAAAAGACTTATGGTAAAATCATAACAAACTAATGAATGTGAAGACTTAAAAAAACTCAATCCGCCAAGAAATATAAAACATTTTGTAAGTAAAACTATTGACAAGTTCATTAATGCAAACTCAAAATTTTTTTTAAACGTTTTGATATGAAAACTAGTTTTTTTAAGCGAAGATCCCGAACAATGGAATTTAAATATAGATTATCTAGACTATCAAGAAATAGTGCGAAGTTTAAAAGTTGTAATCGGTACTGCAGAAAGATCAGTGAAATATATTGAAGAGTACAACTCGATAATTACTAAAAAAGGAGACCAAAAGCAATACTTGCTACAAGTTGTCGCAGATTATAGAAAACATTTTCCAGATGCAAAAAAAAACACATAAATGAAATAATAATGATTATTTTATAATAATTGATAATAATTTTCCATAATATTTTTTTAGTTGTGTTTTTTTATAATTAAAGTTTATTTTTATTATTTATTAGTTTTGTATTATATGTTTTAATCAGTTATATGTTATAAGACCAAGATTTAAATTTAGAGAATATTTTATTAAACAATATTTGTACATAATTTTCAAATGTAAATTTTATATTTTATATAGATTTTGTAAAAATTTGTCGATTACACTAATAAAGACTAAATTACGCAAAAAAATAGAATTGGGAAAAATCGGCGTATTTATGTGTTTTATTGATTATTCAATTAAATATGCAATATAGAGTAAAAAAAAAGACAACATATTTTATAGAAAATACATTTTTAAACAAATTTTATTCAGTAATTTTTTTTGATTCAAGTTAAATTTAACAAGTTATACGTAAAAAACTAATTTTTACCCCTATTTATTAAATTTCAACCCTTCTGCGACACGGAAAAAAATCATTGGACAATCACGAAACTTCACAAAATATATTTTTTTAACTTCTAGAACAGTTCTAGGGGGCGTCCTGATTGAATTAAATAAAAAAAAAATGACCTATGTAGTAAGGATCACCCTAATGTACATGTATTTGTAAAGAAAGACTAGAGAAGTTAAATAAGCCACTGGAAAGACCATATGAAAGAACAGACAAGATTTCCACAATCCCACAAAATATAAATATCCATTAAGGCGGGTTTACACCTTCAGTATTACTTTCCAAATATTAGAACGTATAAAGTTTATAAGTCTATTAAAAATTTCGCTATGAGGCCCCTTTAACAACGAGGCCCGCGGAAAATCCCGCTTTTACACATATGTAGTTCCGCCTCTGCTATAAACGGATATATGAATAAAAATTTTGTTAGTATAAGTAGCTGGCGTAAATTCTGGGATTCCCTGAAAAAAAATTGTGATTAGCGTAAATTAAAACTTTTGTATGTGTAAGCGATTATTTAAGATTTGTGCAAGTATTATAATGAAGTAAATGACACAGCTGTATTCTTTTTACTTTATTTTCATAAATATTATAGTATATCATTTTAATAATAATTAAATTATAACTTGTGTATGTTTACAAAACTTATAATTTTATTATAAGTTAATATTATATTCATTATTAAATTACTTATAAAGTAAATAATCAACTAAAAATTTAGGAGTGTAATATGTCCGAGTTTTCACATAAAACCCTTTTTGTCATCATTGTAAATCTTGTCATATTTAACACTTGAGTTATGATTTTTTATATTTCTACTATTAAAACCAGGATAATCAATAGATCGATATCTCTCTACATGATTTCCTAAAAGATCTAATTACAAAATTTTAATTTAATATTCATATAAAAACATTTTTTTTTACATGTAATTGATTAACAATAGTGGCATTATAAAGGAAGGCTAGATTATTTTTTAATTAGATCATTTTCTATTATTTAAGCAAGTTAAATACACAGAGTAATTTTTTTATCATAACCCACTTACAGAATAAAAATAATATAAACATTTTTTTTTTTGTATCTTAAGTTACACAATATTCTTGAATTATTAACTATATAATACTTTTTAAGTTCATCCCTTATGCCTCGTAAGGGCGTCAACTTTGTTTTTACAAATGAGAACACATTTTACATTAAAAATTAACAAAACAATATTTTAAATAGTCGATAACCAGTCTTGTAATAATACTTTTTGAGATTAAGGATTTAAAGGTCCACAAAATATGAGGAGCAGAATTGTGTCAGCCATGATTTATTTTTACCATAACTCACAGAAAGAATTCTTTTACGTTGAGCGCCTCTCTCACTTATAACTAAATTTTGTATTAACTTGAAAATTAATGATACAAAACTAGTTATCAACCAGTAAAAATTTTATATAACTCATTTTCAATTTAATAGTAAAAAAGAATTCCTCTTTTATCTTTCAAAAAGTATCCCTAAAATGTACCTTAAGAAATAATTTTTTCTTACAATAAACTTGACATTTACTGTGGTTCGTCAGATAAAAAACATTATAATTCTCTCTATAATATTTCTATAAAAATCCTAAACAGTATTATTGTATAGTATATGTTTATTAAAACATTGCCAAAATAAGAGAATTTAAAAACAATCTCTCTTTTAATAGAAGAAAAAAAAAATCTTGGTTATGTGTTTGTCAACTAACCATGTGGTAAATCACGCTTGCAAATAGTTTGATGTGTACGCTTATTTATGAATTTTGTAGGAATATATCTAATTGCAATTTCAAAACAATACTGATATTTTTTCAATCCTGAAATGAATAAAGCAATTTTATTTATTTCCGCAACGACAAAATCACATTTGTCATTGATATTGTATTCTGTGACATTTGCTCTCTCTAATCGACCAATACTCCAGCATAAACAATTTTGCTTCGTAAAGTTATAGCAAAAAATAAAAAATGACTGCATTCCTCTATTTGTAAACAATCATTGTGATCTGAGAAAATTGAAATGAGTTCGTATATCTTATTAAAATTACACTCGATTTTAGTTGTTAATATTTCTCCAAATAACTTTAAATCCATAAAGGATTTCATATTTACAACAATTTGTTCTCCCATTTCAATCATTTTATCTTTTATATAATTTTAATTCCTGATTTTTAAATTCACGAAGTAAAAGGAACTTTCTAACTAATGTAAAGTAAAAACATACAATCATTATAATTGGCCAAATTGTTGCTGCATTTACTAGATTTTTAAACACTTGAACATTTTGCAAGTTAAAATTGAACTTCATGAAATGAAACACATCTAATAACTTTATTTTATAATTATTAGTACTCTTTTCTCAACAGGGTATATCGAATCATATCTAAAACGTCATTTAGCTGTTTGTCAGTGTTATAACTATCATATTGTTTTGCTTGGGAATCCAGCTCCAAAAAACAGGAACAATTTTCCATGAAATCATAAAACAAAAAATTTTTAGGATTGAAAATATAATGTTTTTTTTTCAAAAGCTGTTGCCAAATGCTTTAATATCTTACAATAACTTTTTAATATTTCATTATCTTTTCCCACAAACATATCTCTCAAAATTAAATATTTATTCATATTTCTTATTATATTACTATTGAGTTTCTCGAGTTCATTAAGCAAGACTTCCGAGCTGTATTTTATTGGTTCTTTAAAATTAGTTAAGAATATGAAATCATTTTTAAATGATACATTTAAACACTTGTCATTCAAAAAATATTCCAATTTTTCTACAATTGGACGATGTAGAACTTTATAGCCCTTTAGTAAATTTTGTGGACTATTAAATATATTGCAATTTTCGTCTTTACCAATCACATTTATAGATTCCAAAACATTTTTTAAATATAAATTTACTATCATTATATCTACTGCAATATAATCCTTGTCCATATCTCGTAATGAATCTAACATGATCATAACAATTTCGCCATGAGATTTTACTGCTGTTTCAATATATTAACTCAAGCTCAGAAATTGTATTTTCGAAGTTAAATAAATATTTCTCACTGTACTTAAAATAATTAAACAAATGTTTTGAGAAATTACAATGCAATCGTAAAGGGTCAATGGAAATTGAAAATTTCTTAAAATAAAACACTATCTACTGATTTGTATACTTATCCCACAGTGCATCTAATCAATATATATATACACACTGAATGAACATTTTGACAAGTCGATAAGCAGTATTTTAATATTGCTTTTTGAGTTATTATAATTTTAAGTTATAGTTGACCGAAGTGCGCAATGTAGATTAATTCTTATCTGAGTTATAATACAAAAATAGAGCTTTACTAAACACTACCTCAACTCTTCTAAATCTTCAAATCCTAATATCTCAAAAAGTAATAACACAAAACTGGTTATCGACTAGTCATTCAACATTTGATTTAGACCATTTTCCATTTTATAGTACAACAAATTATAATAGGTACCACCATTTAACTTTCAAAAGCTACCCCGAAAATCTACTAATTTTTTTCTTACAAACTCAAATTTTAAACTTGATTTTTACTATGGTTAATAAAAATAAATAATATTTTAATCAGTACATTTTTATGAAATAATGTTGGTTTCTATGCTTAATAAATCATCCTGTAAATACAAAATGTATATATATATATATATATATTAGGGTGGTCCTTATTTTTCGACTTCATAAATTCAGAGTCATGGGCTCAAAATTTCGTTATGTTCACTGAAAAAATGAAACTGGTAAAATTTGAGTACAATAAGTCAACGCCTTCACGTGCCTCAAAGGGGTTGAAGTTCTTCAAAAATAGGGTGGATTATCTTTTTTTGAGTGTACGCTCTTTATTTTTGAAGTTTCGCCAAAAACACAAAGAACAATTTTTATAGAACTCAATGTGAACAAAATATAAGGTAATATACTATTTTTTTGTAAAATTAATATTTTTTCGTAAAAATAAGAAAAATCAGTTTCACTTAATTTTTTTAAAAAAATGACATAGTTTTCAGTTATACTTTTCTAGTGTCTTAAATTTTAATTGTACGCAGAAATTGTACAGAAGTAATATTAATCACAGTGATATCTTCTATAAAAAAACGTTATTTGAGTTTTTTTCGAATTATGAATCCTTTCCAAATAAAAATTTAAAACAACTACGAAAACTTGTTTTTTTTTTAAATTTTTTTTGCATGTATGGTTTTTTGTTCATAAATTAACAAATTTTCTTAGTTATATTAAATAAAAAAAAAACAAGAAACACAATAAAATAATAATTGTTTATTACAATAATAGTTTTTATAATTTGAATATTTTTTAAAACAGCTGGCGATATTGTTGAACCACCTAAAATAGTCAAAAATAATAGTTATAATACAAATATAGTAATTTAAAATTAAAAATTTTGCAATATTATTTTATAATTTCATACTTGTAATATAAATTGCTTTTGATTTTCATCCCTTGTAAATTTGTCGTTAAATTCTGTGGTTTACTATTTTTATGGAGGATAATATTTCTTTGGCGTTATTGTATTCATTATTTATTTCCCATGTGGTAGGATCTTCATATAGAAACCTGAATTTAATTTAAATCGCTCGAATAATTTCTATGAATTGTTGAACAACGAAAAAGAAAGATCTTTTTCTAGAAAATTTGATAAATCTTCATATTTTAAAATTAATTTTTTATTTGAATCTTCATTTTCTTCTGGCTCTTCATCCGTGCTCTCTTCATAACCTTTTAATATATTTTTTGCCATTCGCTGCTTAGTATTAATGTCAAGTCGATCGTCAAATAAAGAAAACACAGCACACTCATCATTTAAATACCATAAATGGTTTATACATTTTTTTATAGCTACTTCTCCTAGTTTATTATTACTGTAGTTTAATAACTTTTTTAATAACATTAAATCATTTATAGGAGCTGTTATAATATTCGCAGCTGAAAACCACATTTTAATATAACATTCAACTACAAAACAACATATATCTTCTAGTGCATTTACTTCTTTTGAAGGCCCAGGTCATTGACTCATTTCTTCAACGTTTTCCTCCATATCAATATCTTCTTTCTCCGAGCTAGAGCTGCTATAATATTGAGTTTCGGCTAAATAATAAAATACTTCGGTATATAAAAACTGCTTACTTATAATGTCCTGAAATTATTGTGTAATATTTAATAATTACCTGTACAATTTGCAATTTCTAACTTCTCTTTTTTCTTTCGATCATCTTCTTCTTCTTGTCGAGTAATTTTACGTTTTTCAATACCAATTAACTTCATATCAATACCAAGCATGCTCCTGGACGGCCCTTTTTAAGTTGTGACAGTAAAAACTGTTTGTCTTCTTCAATACTTATCATATTCAGAGCTTCGATATGAGAAATGTCAAAGAGGTTGTCTAATTCTTCAGAAAAAATATTATAATGTTGTTCTTGTGTTTGTTTTTCTAGATTTATTTTTGTCCAACTTTCTCTATTTCTCATACAATATTTTTAACTTAATAACACAGTCTGAAGAATACTGTGTAGGAATACGCGCTTTTCTCCAAAATATTAAACACTCATCTATTACAATTATTATTTTATTGTGTTTCTTGTTGTTTTTTTATTTAATATAACTAAGAAAATTTGTTAATTTATGAACAAAAAAATATACATGCAAAAAAAAAAAAAAATACGTTTTCGTAGTTGTTTTAAATTTTTATTTGGAAAGGATTCATAATTCGAAAAAAACTCAAATAACGTTTTTTATAGAAGATATCACTGTGATTAATATTACTTCTGTACAATTTCTGCGTACAATTAAAATTTAAGACACTAGAAAAGTATAACTGAAAACTATGTCATTTTTTTAAAAAAATTAAGTGAAACTGATTTTTCTTATTTTTATGAAAAAATATTAATTTTACAAAAAAATAGTATATTACCTTATATTTTGTTCACATTGAGTTCTATAAAAATTGTTCTTTGTGTTTTTGGCGAAACTTCAAAAATAAAGAGCGTACACTCAAAAAAAGATAATCCACCCTATTTTTGAAGAACTTCAACCCCTTTGAGGCACGTGAAGGCGTTGACTTATTGTACTCAAATTTTACCAGTTTCATTTTTTCAGTGAACATAACGAAATTTTGAGCCCATGACTCTGAATTTATGAAGTCGAAAAATAAGGACCACCCTAATATATATATATATATATATATATATATATGTACAACTTCTACTTTTAGCATTACAACAAGTCCGCCAAGACATTCAAATATAATTTATAATTTAATCCATTTATAGAGAATATAGATTATTCTCATTATTATAGATTGAAATCTGACATTGATTAAAACTATCATCATAAAACGCTTCGATGAGATTGTGTGATGTGAAAGAAGTGTGATTATTCTAACCTTCGTTAGTCGATTATAATTTCAGTACGAAATCAAATTGTAATTTGTTATAAGCCATTATTTCATATTTTTTTACGTATTTGTCAACAATTTTTTCAGTAAAAAATATTATTTAAACTTAAATTTATTCTAGTATTATCCATTATTTTAAAATTTTAAGCCACCTGCATTTTTTTCTGTAACATTTATCATTTTAATTTATTTGTATGGTAAAATAATAAATGTGTCATTATTATTTTGCACTATTTATTAATCTAGATCATATGTTTACTAAAAGTTGCGACGCACATTATTTCGTATTATATAGTTTTTATTAAAAAAATAATAGTTTTAAAACTCTGGGATATTTCAATTTTTTTTTTCTTTTATCTAATAATGTGAATAATTAATATTTTTAGAATTATTGGAAAGTGTTTTATTCATAATAAAGCTTATTCAGAAATATTTGAAAATCTCCTTTTCGAATCAAAGAAATTGTATTGTACAAATTAACATTTTTTTTAATTCTAAGTTTAAGGAATAAATTTCAAGTTTTCTTTACTGACTATGAATTAAAAACTTTATTAATTTGTTTTCTATGATGTATGCATCACGTATGTCATTACTAGGGTTCCTAATATCTTACGTGGACATTACTAATCTTGCTCTCTAATGATTTCAATGTGCATAGAATGGTTATAAATAAAGCATCCATAGATAGAACTGCTTTTGAAAAATCATAGAGAATTTACTTCCCTTAGATATTATAGTACCTGAGAATTTTACGACAAAATTCCATGTAAAAACCTGAAATTTATAACCATAGTAAAAATACAATAATAAGAAATATGATCGAGCCAAACAATCCTTTTTTTTTTTTTTAATGGTCGATAGGAATTTTTGGACCAATATTTCTAAAGTTATTAAAATAAAAATTACATTAAAAATATTAATGTAAAATATTTAACTCATAAAGCCACAAAAAAAAAAAAATACCACAAAATCGCGATTATGTATTTTGACAACAACGTCACCACCATTACAAATGCTAAACAATAACTGACATTCCGACCGACAAAAAAAACTATTTATATACCCCTAGTGACGTTATTACTAAGTAGTTAGTATTATCACATTTTGCCAGTATACAATTTTAATAACGAATTTTTCAATGGGTCAATATCCCAATTAATAAAATGATTTTTAAATATATCATACTAAAATATTGTAATTATTTACATTTTTAATTAATTTTATTGTTTTAATGGAGTGATTATGTGTCAATAATAAATGTTCATCCACGGAAGATTTATTAAATTCTTGATTTTTAAGGTTTCTTAAGTGTTCTTTAGACCTGGCGTCTAAATGTTCTTTTTTTTGTTTGACATTTATTACAATTTTAACATTGTATTTTATAAGCTCCCTAATTTCTCCTTCTTCTACTTTATATTTAAAGTTCACTAAAAAGTAGCTTATATTATTATCAAAAATGTTACAAAATTAATATTAAATTCTACAAAATTCTTTGCTCGGATAATATAAAATTCTAAAAATAATCTAATTACGTTTTGTTGCCCCACGCTAGTGAATGCACTAACTGCCCTCTTTTCTTTATTCCACCTATTAATTTTAATATTACGTTTGACACGACTTACGTCGCAAAAATGTGGTCGACACTGGTTTTGAGGGTGGAGACCCGTGGGCCGTTTATTAAATGAGCGACAACAGATTATGTTAACAAAAATAAAACAAACCGAAAAGATAAACACAGTAATAATAATCTTCGCATAATATCGCGGCACTTTCGCTGGCGTCGACGACGCGATGTTCGGCGTAATCCTTGGACGGCAAAATGGTTAGCAGCGTTGTAGGCGACGGTGCGCGGGTGCGGTTCGGCTGTNGGCAGCGTTGTAGGCGACGGTGCGGATCGGTTGGTCGACGTTGTCGCTTTCACAACGGGAGGAAGACACCATTTGCGGCAGGTCGTCGTCGGCCGTGCGGCATTTGCTGGACTTTGCACCGTAGCGTATGGCACGCGGTGTTGGTCAGTCAAATATTCATTGTAGGGCGACGGCTGATAAAGGTGGCACGAGTCGCGGGGCACCGTGTATAACGAAGCGACGCGGGCCGTGTCACGTTATCATTAAACCTATATTCATTATCTGGCTACTTCTTTTATAACTCCCAGTTATTTATCAAAATCTATTTTATTTATCGGAATATTAAGTAGCCTGTAAACCATACTATTAAAAGTTTTCATTTTGTTACACCACCGAATTTTTCGGAATGTAACTGAACGTATGGTGTTTTTCCGATAAATTAATGAATTTATTTACTTATCATTATTTTGAATAATATAATCAGATAATTTTTGACTTAACTAAATCAATATTATTTTTAACTGAAAACCTATCAAATTTTTGAACAGATGAAAGAACCACTTACTAAGTGTTTAGCCAAATTGTAAGTCAAGACATTAATATTCGACACAATGCGTCTTATTTTATTTCCTAGCTCATGTATTTTTGGCAAGTTTATGAATTTGCCAGTTTGAAATTTTAGTAAAAAAAAAGCTGAATTTTTCTTGAATTATTGATTTTTAACTATTGATAACGATTGTAGCTTCCATTATTATTTTACTTTTAAAATTCTCTTTATCACTTATAGGCCAGTCAACAAAGGAAAAATTGCGGAAAAAATTCCCAACGAAATTTTTTTTTTTTTAAAGTTGAATTAAGATATGTATAATGACATACTAAAAGTCCTCATCGATTGGACTTGAGCTTTTTTTTTACAGCCTCGCAAAAGTTGAAAAATATGAGCTTTTTTAATTTTCTCAAAAAATATTTAACTTACAAAAAAAAGTTTCGTACAAAAGTTGTTTAAAAGACAATTTTAAACAAAAAAGGTTTCTTATATTTTTTTATTTAAATAAATATTTTTCGAGTTACATTACATTTAATATGAGTACTAAAATTTATTTTCCAATTTTTTTCATTTTACGGTTATTTTTTATCATGTTATACTTACATTAGACACAATGTTATAAATGCATATGTGTGTATGTGTGAGTTTATTTATTTATAGTATCATTAAAGTGTAGTGTATATTAAGATACAACCGATAGAGTAGGTAATTGATTTGACGCTATATTGTTTAAACCCAACTAAACGCTAAATTGTACATTCCCAAACAACAATTATATTATGTCAATTGCCACCGGAATTTCTGCTAATAATAAAGATAATTGTCATAAAACGGCCTTCAGTCAGGTGCTGGAGCTGGTAAAAATTGTGGCTGCCGAAAAACAGGGCTTAAATGTTCTATTATATGTGAACATTGCAAAGGTCAATGGCGTACAAATTCAATAGAAATAAAGATTGAAGATTAAGAAAATTGTACTTTTGTTGAAGATATATTCTATCAAAATTTAGAATGGGAAACTAAATAAGAAAATGGAAAAAAAATTTGTTTCATACATTTGTCAAACAACTTTATAGTGGAGAAATTTTTCATCGATTACATACTTTGCACTAGTTATGCATATGACTTGTATTTAGGATATAAATAAGGAAATAGGAGATCATGTAGCTTTTGTAATAATTCATTAAAATTTTAAAATTAAACACTATCTACAGATTTTCATCAAGGCGTTGTTTTTTGATAATGATTTTAATCACTGTCACATATCTTCTATACTGCACCCAATTGTACACACTGTACCGGGACACTGCTGGTATTTTTTTTTTAATAGCGATTGGTTGAAATAGTAGCAATGGGTTTACTTTAATTATTTCATTATTAATTTTAACAATAGAAGTTATTTAAGATACAGTTATAACTTTATTTGACCTTTTAAGATTTATTTCATGAAAGTTATTATCCACCATTGAGTTTACTTGATCAAGAATAATTTTAGACACTTTATGACAATTAATTTTATCATTACCAGAAATTCTGACTGGGTTGACAAAAGAGAACATGAGGTAGGTGAATTTGAAGAGATCAGTGACAATAGGCGAGACTGTGAATGGGGAGGTAGAAAGTTTTAAGTATTTAGGATCAGTAGTGCAAAAGAGCGGTGGTATTGACGAGAATGTAAGACACAAGATTAAGTGCGGGTGGTTGAAGTAGAGAGAAGCGTCTGGTGTCATATGCGATAAAAGAATTCCAATGAGGCTAAAAGGTAAATTCTACAACCAGCTATGATGTATGGTTCAGAGTGTAGGGCGGTTCAGGGCCGGATTTGACGGAGGGTTTTAAGGGCACTTGCCCCGGGCAGCAGATGTTTGGGGGCATCCGGATGCCGAATACTATAAAAAAAATTTTAAACTTTTTAACCCTCAGCTTATGAAAAAATCAACTTTAAAAAGTAAATATTATTTTGTATTTATATAATTTGGTCTGCAAAATTAATAACGATATACGTCACATGATAACATGAAATTTTACTATGATGTGTTTTTTTTTTTGTGTCTGTTACCACTCTTTCTCAGCTCTCACTGAACCGATTTCTTTCAATGATACGTCAAAAGATCACAAATCGTATCTAGTCGAAGACATTACCCTCAAAAATTGAAAAAATTCCCTCGTTCCCCGTAAACTAAGCTGGGTATAATTAAGGAAATAGAAGTTGATGTTGTAATCATCTACCAATTTTTTAAAATTAAACACTATCTAAAGATTTGCATCGAAGCGTTTTTTTTTTATAGTTATTTTAATCACTGTCAGATATCATTATACTTGATCCAACTATGCCACGTCACAACTGTGCCGCGACTCCCCTGTACTGCCTTTTTTTATTTTTTGTTTTTTTTAATTTAAAATACGCTGTGTGCCGAGTGGAGGCTGAAAACTCCGAAGACTGAATACTCCCGAAATAAATATTGTAAGTTCCATTCATTGTTGGTAAAAAATGTGTTATAATTGTGTAGTATTGTTCAGTTTATGTGATAGTGTCTTGTGGAAAGATTTTTTTTTAGGCGATGTATAGGTAATTTTCCCAGTTTAATTGATTAATTAATTTTAAATTTGGTGTCAATATTTTTTTGCCCTTGATTTTCATTTAAAAATTGATTTTATTTTTACAATTGTATGGTACAGAATACCTTTAGAAGGATCTAGTTGACCAGTTACCCCTTAAATTTAAGATACTCTCTGAGGAATTTCTAGTATACAGAGTGATTTTTATATCATAACCCACTCAATTACTTATAGAATAAATATATTTAAAGATTTTTTTTTTTTGTTATCTTTAGTTACACATTATTCTCGAATTATTAACTATGTAATACTTTTTAAGTTCATCCCTTATGCCTTGTAAGGGGGTCAACTTTGTTTTTTTAAATGGAAACACATATTTTTAATTTAATAAAATGTTTGAGTTTTTAATTTAATAGTAAATGGCATTGTAATTTTTAAGATAACTTTATTCGTTTATTATATATAAACAAGTTTCAAATTTTTTAGTTAATATACATGTATGATTTTTAAGACATAGCTGTCACAGTCACGGATTGTTTATTATCAATTATGACTATCAATAGATATACTTTTTTATTGTTAGTTAGTGTATTTATAAACTCACAACAATGTGCCTTACCACCATTGATAATAACAATGCTGTGTA